CCACTTGTTTCAGCGTGTTTACCTAGAGACAAGATAGAGAAAAGAAGAAATTCGTTATTAATTTAAAATATGAAATATTATCAACTAAAATTATATATTGTTGCGTCCTCGGGACGCCTCTCGCTCAGTCACTCACACACAGTCACTCTCACTCGCGCGCGAAATAAAGACACTCGCATAATAGGGAAATGAACTTTAATATGAGGAACCAATACACGAAACCAATGAAATATAACAAATAGTGCATTCGTAATGCAAAGAAGCTCCGGTCTCGGAAAACGTCCGCACGATGCGACCGCTAGACCAAATCTGTCATGTCTCCCGAAAACAGAAGAAGACCCTTAGTTGTTTAACAACAACTCCCTTGACGACGATCTTCCGGAGGCGTAAAGAGTTGATCCCGCGAAAAGTATCACCCGATACAAAGATGTAGATCCAGGGGCGTAACACGGGGGCGCAACACTGCCCCCCTTCTTCAAAATTGTCGTCCCGACAATTCTCACGGAGATTGAAGACCCAGGACTCTGACGCTGCTATTAGGGCACCAACGATACTCCGCTCTCCCTTAGCTGCTGCTACAGGTTACCGAACGAAACGCCTGGTCCCTCTCTTTTTGCGTCTACACTGTCCGGACGAATCCTGCTCTCCCTTAGCTGCTGCTACAGGTTACCGAGCTTCGCCCTCCTCCTCTCCGTACTCGAACTGTTTTTTTGAAGAAAAATTGGCCAGATTTTTCCCATAACAGTCGAGTTGATAGAAGATATCCCTGCATCTTCGCGGTTTCACTATACTCGCCGTCTCCCGGAAGGATAACGAAATGGTCCATGAATCTTCAGACAAAGGGGGGGAATATCTTCCGTGGACCCAACGTTCCTCGTGAACACCCTAAGTCTCTGTCCCGGCATTTGCCCTCAGTCTCGTGGGAAAACCACGGATCAAAAACCACGAGAGGGACAGTCTTCAACGTGATGAACCAAATGACCAATCTTCTGAAGATGAGACGGTCTTCTCAATTGAAAGGAGCCAGTTGCCCTCGATGAGTAATGGTCGCAGGAACTTTCTCAGAGAATTCTCTTGTAACAGAAACTCAGGCAAGCCTCTTCTTAAAAATTTCCAACTAGAAAAGAAAACATTCCTTACGCAGAATAAATTCACCAATTAAAAAAATGTACTTACAAATATACACACAAACACAACTCTCCAATTCCTAGCAATCTTTATTTGAGTTTTGTACTATTTCTAATTAACAATCAATATTTCTATCTAAAAATGGAGCTAATCTATCTGCATGCACTACTTTCTTCCGATGTCTGGGTGTCTTCTGAATGCAGTACACCACATCGTTGAATTTCTTTACAATAGAGAAAGGTCCTTCTAACACTACAATCAATGAGATCAACAAAATTGGACGTCGGGGCGTTTTCTGTAAGAATTGAATTTTCCCCGAAAAATTCAACTACCTCTAGTTTTCTTCGCCTCAGGACATTGAAAACGCAAATGCCCAGTCTTCCCGCAAGACCAACATTCTTTCTCTTTGGCCGAAAAGTTGTTCGCTTGCGCTTCCCCTTTCGAGTCAAACCGTTCGCTTTTCTTTTTTTCGGAATCGGTTCGCGCGTCGCTCCTCTCTCCTTTTTGATAATTTTGACTTATTTTGCCGTAATTTCCTTTATTACTAAAATTGTCTCTTTTTCTATCAAAACTATCCCCCTGAATTATTTTTATGGCCTTAGCTCTTTCTATAGCCAAATTTAAGGATGTAATTCCCTCCAGTTGAAGGGTTCTTTTGACAAACCCGTCTATTAATGCCGAGACAAATTGCGCGCATGCTATTTTATCGCGGACCGCATATGGACATTCGGGGTAAGCCAGACGCGACAGTCTCTCAAGTTCGGCTCCAAAGGAAGCGAAATCCTCTCCATATTTTTGTTTCCGTGTCGTAAAAAGATAGTAATAATTTTGCGTCAAGTTTCCGTCTTCAAAAAGCAACTCTAATTTTGATTTTAATTCCGCGAATGTTAATTCTTCAAAATTCTCGACATTTTCTAAAACGGACCGAGCTTTTCCCCTTAAATTTGCAGCGAGAGTAATCATTTTTGCTTTCTCATCCCAATTATTCGCGACGGCTATCAAAAGAAATTGGGAGAGGAACTCCCGCAGCGGAACCCTTCCATCGAATGTATCGGGCTTCAGTTTTAAGCCCGTTTTCGCACGAAAGTCACCGGTCGTCTCACCCGCGTTTATCACGGCACTCGCGGCTATCGCGGCACTCGCGGTACTCGCGCAAGCTAAATTCAGTCGTGTATCCCCAGAAGCTCTTATATTAGAAGGACTTAGCTGGTTAGTTTGCTGCGAGGAGATCCTCAATTCGAGCTGGTGCAGCTGTTCGTCCTTCTCTCGGAGAAGAGTCTCAAAGCGAGCTTGCTGATGTTCTCGTTCGGCCCGCATTTCTCGTAGTTCTCGCAGTGCGGTCTGCAACGCATCCGTCTCGTCTATCTCCTTCATCGTTGTTCGGGAACGCGTCGCTTTCGGCGAATGTTGAGTCGTCATTTTGGCGTTCTCTCAGGAAGATGCGATTCTTTCGGTTTTGATCCCGGACGAGCCCCCAAAATGTTGCGTCCTCGGGACGCCTCTCGCTCAGTCACTCACACACAGTCACTCTCACTCGCGCGCGAAATAAAGACACTCGCATAATAGGGAAATGAACTTTAATATGAGGAACCAATACACGAAACCAATGAAATATAACAAATAGTGCATTCGTAATGCAAAGAAGCTCCGGTCTCGGAAAACGTCCGCACGATGCGACCGCTAGACCAAATCTGTCATGTCTCCCGAAAACAGAAGAAGACCCTTAGTTGTTTAACAACAACTCCCTTGACGACGATCTTCCGGAGGCGTAAAGAGTTGATCCCGCGAAAAGTATCACCCGATACAAAGATGTAGATCCAGGGGCGTAACACGGGGGCGCAACAATATATATATATATATATATATATATATATATATATGTTTGCATAGAGTATTTTAGCGAGACCGGATGAAATGTTTTATATCTTTGTATACATAGGTTTACATTGGTCCATAGATGTATCATAATGAAATAATTTGTTTACATATGTATTAATAAAGTTATTGCGAAAATTAAATACTGTATCTGTAGAGTATTTATTGGTACCGTTTTTTTTTGGTATCGTATATTAACGGTACCTTATATTCATATATACAGATGTCCGAAAAATCGCCTACTCTACTTCGGNATAATATACACTTTACGTATGTTCCACTTTGAATTGGCACCTTGATAACATATCAGTTATTTTCATGTATAGTAGTAGTAGTAGTAGTAGTAAATTTTATTGGTCCCCTTGGGGTTTCAATTCCCTTACAATTTAACAATACAGCAGCCGCATATACAAAGGTGCTAATTCAAACAAAAACAAAAAAAAAACAAAAAATATAAAACGCACGCTACCATGACCTCTTCGCTATTAACCTCTTAACCTATCTTATTGCTAACTTAACCTATCTGTCCTAAGGGGTTGGACTTCCGCTTTGGGTCGCCCGTTGTCCAGGCCATCTCCCCTTGGCTTCTGCCCAACCCCATGTACACACACACACGCTTCTTGGACTTCCGTTTCCTCTTGCTTTCTTTTCTTAAACATTCTTCCCCTTTGCCCCCCTCACGTCATTCTCTCCTCCATCATCCTCTTTCCCTCCTACTCTCTCCACACTTCTCTCTCCTCTCCCCTTTCTTATCTCCCTTTCTCTCTCTATCTCTCTCATCCATCCTTCCCCTTCTCCCTTTTCTCCTAGTATCTCCCTCACTACTTCCTGCCAACTCTCTTTCCTCTCCCCCCTCACTTCACACCTCTCCCATACATGCTCCCACGATTCTACCTCCTCTCCACATATCCTACATTTCCTCTTTTCTGCTTCCTCCCAATACCTGCTTTCTAAAATCTCACTTCCTAATCTGAATCTTGCTATCCTCCTCCATCTACTCTCTCCCCAATCCTTTCTTAAGTATTCTGGCACTCCTTCTCCTCTAACCTCCTTGTACCATCTGTTAAATTCCGATCCCTTTATTCTCTCCTCCCTCTCCCTCCTCTGCTCCTCCAGATCCCTCCTTATTAACTCCCCAAACCATCCCTCCTCCATACCTCTTCTCTCCTCCACCTCCTCTATCCTCCTACCTCTTTTCCTGAAATATTCTTCCCTTTCCCTTTCCCACTCCGATCCCACTCTTCCTATTTTCGCCCTTTCTCTCATTTCCTCCCAGCATTTCCTCGCTAGCTCGCTTCCTCTTCCTTCCTCCATTCTCTTCTCGAAATTCCATGCCCTTTTTCCGGCTCTTATCCTCAGCTTCTCTCTTCTCAGTTCCTCCCTCACCATATAACCTGGCGTTCCCCTCTCTACTCCTAATATCCATCTCAGGTATCTTTCTTCCATCCTTTCCATTCCCTCTCTCTCCTTCCACCCCCATATTTCCACCCCGTAGCTCATCACTGTCCACACCAATTTGTCGAAAAGCCATAATCTTCTCCCCCAATCTTTTCCAAACTTTCTCTTTCCTATTCCCCATACTTGCCCCATAATAGCCGCCGCTCTCCTCATCCTATCTTTCACTTGTCCTTCTTGTCCTCCATTCCTCTGTAGTCTATATCCCAGATACGTAAACTCCTTTACTTCCTCCATTTTCTCTCCTTTCCATCTCCACTCCCTCTTCTTCCATCTTCCTCCCTTTCTCCTAAACCTCATTATCTTCGTCTTCTTTGCGTTCAGCTCCAATCTCTTGTTGTCTAGATATTCTTCTAACCTTTCTACCATACTTCTCAGTTCCTCTTCCTCCTCTACCAACAACACCATATCATCCGCGTATGCCAATGTATAAATCCTTTTTTCTCCTATTCTTACTCCTCCTCTTTTCACCTTCCCCATTTTTTCCTCTAAGTCCGCTATTAGGATGTTGAATAGTATTGGACTCAATGGGCACCCCTGTCTTACTCCTTTCTCAATCCAAAACTCTCTCCAACTTCTTCCCCTATCTTTATCCTGCATGTTGTCTCTCTCATCACCATCTCTACCCTTCTTCTCAATCCTTTCCTTACTCCTCTCTCCTCCATTGCCTCCATTAATTTCTCCCTGTCTACCGAGTCAAATGCTGCTCTCAGATCTATAAACAATGCCGTTAGCCTTCCCTCTTTTTTTTCCAGTTGTCTATTGATTAGATAATTCATCACGTATATGTTGTCTATTGTTCCCATTCCTCTCCTAAACCCCATCTGATTTTCTGGCACTATCCCTTTTTCCTCCACATCCTTCCTCAATCTTTCTGTCAGTATCATCGTGTAAACCTTATACATTGATGGCATCATGGTTACTCCCCTGTAGTCTTCCACCTCCTTTCCATCCCCTTTTTTCTTTATCGGTGTAATCACTCCCTCTATCCATCTCTTCGGCCATCCTTCTCCTCTCCATATTCTATTACAAAAATCCAGCATCCAATCCTCCACGTTCCCTCCTCCATACTTCCATACCTCATTCGGAATCTCATCTATCCCTGTCGCTTTTCCTGCTTTCAGCTTCTTTATTGCCTCTCTCATTTCCTCTCTACTTATTTCCTCCTCCTCCTCCTCCCCCTCCTCCTCCTCCTCTGTCCTGTTCCCCTCCTCTCTTCTTTCCTTTCTTACCTTTCTCTCCTCTGTTCCTCCTAACAACTTCATAAAATATTCTCTCCACTTTCTCATCTCAATTTCTTCGTTTATTCCTTTCCATCTTCTTCTCTCTCTGTTTATTATCTCCCATACCTCCGATTCTCTTTTCACCTCTGCTGCCTTCTTTTCCCATTTCTCATTTTCTTCCTTTTTCTTCCTCTCACACAATCTCTTGTAATCCCCTCTTCTCTTCCTATATTCCTCCCCCTCACCTCCTTCCCTCCACCATCTCCTCAGCTCCCTCCTTACCTTTCTTTTCTCCTCTCTGCACTCCCCATCCCACCATCCTCTTTTCTCCTTCTTTCCTTTCCTCCAGTCCTCCTCTGTTGCTCTTAATACTTCCTTCATCCTCTCCTCTATTCTTTCCCATTCTCCATCTATCTCTTCCTCTCCTCCTCCTATTTCTCCTATCTCCTCCACTTTTCCCTCAAAAATCCTCCGGCCCTCCTCATTCCATACTCCTCTCCTCCCTCCTCTCGACTTTCTTCTCTCTCTTCTCTGCCATCCTTCTATCTCCACTTCTATTGGGTGATGATCTGAGTCCACCTTGTCTCTTATTCTTAACCTTCTCACCTTCTCTCCGCTATCCTCATTCCCAATTACGTAATCTATAACCGTGTTCCCTCTTCCTCCTGTAAAAGTCCATTCTCCCTCCTCATCTCCCTTTGTGTTACCGTTCATTATGCTCCAACCTCTTTCTCCCATGAATTCCAGTAGTTTTCTTCCCTCTGCATTGATTAATTTGTCTTTCGACTTTCTTTTCTTTTCCTCTTTCCTCTCCTCTTCCGCATTCTCCTTATCTCTGATTCTACCCCCCTCTTGTCCTGTCCTCGCATTAAAATCTCCTCCTATTATCGTGTAAACCTCCTCCTCTTTCTCCTCCGTCCACTTCTCCATCTCCCTGCACGCCTTCTCTATTCCTTCTCCTACGTATACTCCTATCACCCTCCATTTTTCCTTCCCTATCTTTACTCTTCCTACCACAAAGCCCTCCTTACTCAGCTCCATCATTCCTCCCTTCTCTGCAATCTCCTTTTTTATCCCCATAATCATGCCTCCTTTCGCTCTTCCTCTCTTCTTCTTTCTACTTGCTCCTTGCACTCCCCATACGTATCCTTTCGGTAGGTACCTTCTCATCTTCTTCCATCCTTCCTCTTCCATCCATGTTTCTGATAACACTATTACATCCCATTCCTCTAATCCTTTCCAAAAATCTATGTCCTTATTCCCTACTCCCGCTACGTTCCAGAAAACTACCTTCCATCCTTTTCCTCTCTTCTCCTTTTCCCTCTCTCTCTCTATCTCTACTTTAGCCCATCTTCCTTTCTCCTCTCCTCTTCCCCCATTATCATATTCTTTACATTTCCCTTCTCATCTCTCAGCACTTCCTTCTCCTCATCCCATCTCCACCATTTTTCTCCTATTTTTAACTTGCCATTACTTACCCATGTCCTTTCTCCTCTTTTCTCTTCTCTCCTTGCTATCTCTCCCAACTTTCGTCTTATCTCCCTTTCTTTCCATGTTAAATCCGTGTCTATCCTTTCTTTTCTGCCTTTCAGCCTCTTTTTCTTCTCCATCACTTCCCATTTCTGTTCTTCCTTCTCCAATTCCACCACCACCATTTCTCTCCCCATTTCTCTATCCTCCCCTATTTTCCTTATTTTCATTATCCTCGCTCTTGCCTCTATCTCCTCTAACAATTTTTCGGCTCCCTCTCTTCTTTTCCCCTCTTTGACTAATAAGCCTTTTATTACTATATTCTTTCTTTTTTCCTCTTTTTCTAATATCTCCCATTTCCTTTCCATTTCCCCTACTCTCTTCTGTAAACCATTCCCTGTGTGCTCTCTTCTTTCTCTCTCTCCCTCCTCCTTTTCCTCCATCTTCCTCTCCAGTCCCTCTATCCTCCTCTTCATACCTTCCATGTTCTCTATCATTTCTTTCTTCTCTCTTTTCCACCTTTCCATCTGTATCTTGTAATCTCTCCTTATCTCCTCCATCTCTCCTCTTATCCTCTCTCCCTGTTCCTTTATTTCCTCCCTGATCTCCCTCATTTCTTGCCACATATCTTGCAACAATCTTTTGATCTCTTCCTTCTCTCCATCCTCTTCACCACCTTTTTCCGGTGATCTCGTTGTCTTGTTGCTTCTCTTAAAGATCTCACCGCTCCCTTCTCCCGTTTTTTTCCTCTAACTCCCTTTTTTTCCTCTTCAGTAGATCTTCTATATTCCCTAGACTTCCACTTCTTTCTTTTCCCTTTTTACCTACCGATCCTATTATTCCTCCTCCCTCCGCTCCCTTGCCTCCCTCTTTCTTCCCGCTCCACATGCTTTCAGACCCTTTTAATCCAAATCCTCTCCGCTTTCCTCTCTATACTCTTCCTTTCCCCTGTCCCTCTCTTTTCCTACTTCTCGCCACTCTACGTTCTTCCTAATCCTTGCTTCTTCTTTCCTAAATTCCCTAGCTATTCCCTAGCACCTTTACTCTATTTTTCTGCACCCCGCTTTCTTTCTTTATACCCTATACTCCCTGCCCACTCTCAGCTGTCACCAGCCTCCTATTTCTCTCTTTCCTACTTTCTCTGTCTAACTATCCTCTCTCACACTACTCTCTCACCCTCTCACTCTTCTCCCTCTTCCTTTTCAAACTATCCTCTCCACTATCTCTGTGCTCTAACCCCTTTAATCGCCCTCAACTCTTCACTATCACACACCACGTGTACTCTAATTCTGCACCGGAAACGGAAGTCCCACATGGTAATATATTATTACTAAATTTAGATAATATACACTTTACGTATGTTCACACTTTGAACTGGCACCTTGAATAACATATCAGTTACTTTTCATGGTAATATATTATTACTAAATTTAGATAATATACACTTTACGTATGTTCACTTTGAACTGGCACCTTGAATAACATATCAGTTACTTTTCGTGATAATTTATTATTAGATCGTTTAAATTTTTGAGTACCTTCTTTTGAACATGGCCTGACCTTTTCATTTTTATGATTTTTTTAAGATTTATTTTTTCTTCCTTAGCTGTTGAGTAAAACCATGTGTGTGTTTGATGTAACGGGATCCATACTGTCGTTTTCGTTACCCGATAGCGTACCTTACATTCATGCTTATCTTGCATTCGTTGCGTATACATTTGTAATTCGCACGGTATATTCATGTTTACGCGATAAGTCGGCATGCTATGTTCGCATATATAATTAGAGTTTATTTTACTACGTTTTTGTAAATCCTCATTTGTTATAATTAAATATGTTAATCTAAGGTTATCTATGGCAAACGTATTGTTTTCTACTTGTATACCTTTAAATGTTTTATTGTATGCTGCCACGGGGAATTCAATTGCCTTTATTATGTTATATTTAGGCTGTGATATTATCGGGAACCGCAGTATTGTATATAAATTATATTCTTTGCTTACGTATGCACTTACGCTTGCATGTTTCTTTATTTCATGCCAGTTTACTGCGTGTGTTCTAAACGGAAAATAATATCCCTTGCGACCGTCTCTCCGCCCTCTCTCGTCAAACGAGAGAGAGAGTGCGAGAGAGACCGCTGCGCAACCTCGTCGTGCCGCTCTCCGTTCTCTCAATACTTGCTCGGTATCACTATGTACTCGGTATCGTATATTTTGGGCGCCAGGTGCGGTCAGGCCGCACCACTCAACAATATCTCGGCAAATAATCAGCGGACACGACGGCTCGGCCTCGGTAGCTCGGTATCCACAGGGGGTAGAGTGTCGTGGTTCTTTCCGTAAGGAGATTCGGAATCGCCGTCTCGGAGAGAGAGAAGAAATCTCGATATTAATTGTACTCAGAAATAAGATAAAATAAGAATATATTTTCAATTAGTAGTATATAGATAGTGTGAATAAAAATAACTATAATATTATTATCGAGCCGTAGGGAGATCGCTGGGTTTTCTCGAAATCTTTAGTTATCATTACTCTCCTCCCTTTGTATCCGGCTCGGAATCGAATAGACCATACACTAATCCAGCGGAACTTATTCTCAAGGATTGCTAATCAATGACTCGATACAATGCTACAATTACAATATATTACGATATGACTGTCGACTCGTTTCAGTGCCCCTCGGAGAGGCGAAGAAGGCAAAGATTTACGCAATAACTTAATGACGCGGAAATCGACGCGAGTCCCGTGAGTCTCTCAACTAATTCTCGGTACTAAATTGTTTACAGCATAATTGCTCGGTATCGTTATACTTCTCTAATAACTCACGGGTCTCTGCCGAATCCGCGCTTACCGGACGATCGAGGAGGTGGCCTTACAATAATCCGCCGTCGCAGGTGGTCGCTGTGGGTCTTCGTCTTTTTTCGTGCTCGCAGGACACCGGCTCGTCGAACAGTGATTTCCTTTCGGGCCGGCGGGACCTCGGAAAGTACGCTGGTGGGGAGGGGGAAGACAATGCGCGCCACCCCAGCCCGGTTGCCAGGTCTCGCGGCAGCGTTGCGCCCCGCGCCGGACCCGGAATCGATCCTCGTATCGATTCCTGTGTGTCGCGGCTGGTCGCGGACTTCCGCCGCCAAATTCAAATTTCAGCCCTCGGGAGCGACGATGCAGCAGGTCCATTCTCGGCGGTCCCGTCCACACCTCGTATGGCCGTATGATGTTCCGAACGACCTTTATTTGCTGAGGGAAGTCGTCTCGGGGTGATCAGTCCCGTTAGATCTCCATGTTTCTCTCGATGTGTGGTGGCGGGCCCCTCAGGGGAATCATCCTGGTCGCGGAATGTAGGCGCCTTTTCCTCCCTGTTTTGGACTGCTCCTGTTCGTCCCATCGAGGCTGTAACGAGTTTATTTGCAGTATCCCTTCCTTATTTTCTCGGTACCGCGTATATTTTATTGTTCTTAATACTCACCGGGCCGGTCGCTCAGTCTCCGCTCCTCCCCCTCCGAGGTCGTTCCTCCGTCGTCTGCCCAGGTCCTCTTCTCCCTAAAACAATGGCCGTTCTCCTGGCCTACCACCTCGATCCCGATACAGAGTACGGGCGAGCTAGCGAAAAGGTCGCTGCTCACCCGCACGAAACACAAAATTGTACAGCGCTCTCAGACGCTTCCCGGCCGGACGTGTCCGCCCTTGTGACGGGCTCAAAAAGACCACGTCACACCCTGTTCTAACTGTGTTGCGGCTTCTTTTAAATGCGCGACAATGTTATCAAATGGTACTAATTTCGGATGTATGTTTCCTTCCTCGATTTGCGCTAAGTATTCTATAATATTTTCCGCGTCCCTAATGGCGTCCGTTAATGCTGCCATAATTATTTCATATTGCCCCTGTATCTTTTCTAACGTAATATATTGCGCTACATTTTCCTGTAAGAGTTTTTCACTCTGTTTTATTGTATTCTCTAACTTATTTATATGTGTTACCGTATCGTTGATTATTGTTAGTTGATGTCTAACTGTGTGTTGTAACGTGCTTTGTCCGCTATTTATTAATTCTAGTTGTTCATTTATGCGTTTTTCGTCATCGGCGTTCATGGTACCGAACAATGTCTTTGCTACTGTTCCTATCCCGTCAATTATTCCCCTACGTTTGTCTGTACGTCTGTCGTAGAGTGTATTTATTTGTATTGTCGTCTTTTCCAAATAGTTTAGTGTTTGTTTTGTAATACTAACTAAATTAAGGCATGTGTTTTGTTGCGTTAACACATTGCACGCTTTTTCTGTACGCTCTATATAATTTCGTATGTAACCCTGTTTCGCAGTTAATGTTGCTAGGTCTAGTTTTATTACTAGTTTACACGTGCTTTTAGAATAATGTAGATGGCCTATTTTTTCAAAATGTATCCCTGGTTCGTTGGTGAATTCCTCGAGTTCATATGGCTCTTGGCTTGACCGTCTCAATGTCGCTGCGTTGGCATTGAATATGATCATCCTGTAATATATATATAATTCCCTTTACTATTTTATACTTTTGTATGCAATTTTTTATCAAGAAAGCGGAGCATTCGTTTTTTATATCTTCTGTCGTTTCTTCAGTCTTAGGACAACTTTTGTTACGTGC